ACGGTGCAAGAATCATGCCGGTTGTCGGCATCTGCGTATGCTTGGCCTCATCTAAAGTCTGCTCATAGAAACCCTCAGCGTGGTCGAGATGCTGTCGCTGGAAGGGTGTACTGTGTACTGGTCCGCACTCCGGTCCGTTTTTTTTCTCGAAGCGCAGCAGCTACGTCAGCTGCCCTCGCCAGTGCAGTCTTGGTGCACCGGCCCTGATGGCTGCGGTTTGTGTTGTGTTCCTGCAATTGCACAAATCCGGTCTGCCTTGAGTACCGCTTGTCCAGAGTCGCTGGCTGCCTGTCTGGAAGAGGAAGACTGATTAAGGACCGGCACATTCTTCTGTGACAGTCCTGTGACATTCCGTTCCCAGGAGCAGCATCGGAGGGTTGTAGTGGCTACGGTCTCTGCTCCGGCTTGAGCTACCGCAACATTCTGCATTACATTATAGATATTTCAGAGACGAGAGATCGCACTGCTGCATGAGTAATGGTCAAAATTACGCATTGACCCAAAGCTATTATTTTTTGGGGAGCAGAAACTACTTCGGTGCCAAGTAAACTCCGCGGAGAAGTCTGAAAGTCTGTACGAATCGCGCGTACACAAGACGACTGTACGATGGGGTGACGAATTATCAGAAGTGGCTGCCGAAAGATTAACAGCCCATTTCTAGCTCAACAGTGCAACTGCCAAGATAATTCCCATGACGAAAGTCTGGACCTCGATTGGGATCTCAATAAATCGTTTAAGAGTTGGCTCCCGTCTAGTCGCGAACTTTTTCGTATAGCAAGTCTTAACTATTCGTTCATTATTCTTACTTCTATGATAGCAAACATTGAGAAGTCAATATGGCAAAGACAAGTCAATTCACCAAATTGCCCTCTCAAATTAAGCATGGGAATATTCGCGGAAGATAGTTAAAATGCTTTACTGATTTTCAATTACAGTGGAGCCTAGAGTGACGATCAGCCCCATCTACGAACATTTCAGTTAACGAGCGAGCCAATAGGAGAAAACTTGTTTCGATTGGCGAGCTTCCGCTCAGTTAAAGAGTTGTCAATGCGTGTGTATGTGTGTCTGTGTCCGCCGTGGAGTCTCGCCCCAGGGCGTTGTTTCTCGATCGGCTGCAGCCCATCAGTAAACGGGTGCATTTTGATTGGCTACGAGCTTTCGTG